TGACCACTGGCACCCAGCTTCCTCTAATAATTTTTATTTTAGGGGTGTGTGTGTGTGTGTGTGTGTGTGTGTTTATCTCTTCTGATCTTTTGGTCCTTTTTTATTCTTTTCATTTTTTTCTTTCTTTCTTTTTTTATGTAACTTAATTAATGTTCTGCTCATCCCCAGATATATAGCCATCATTGATTATTAGACCTTATACTCCATTGTGATACACTTACTCCAAAAAGTTATTACTCAATTCACAACCCCTTGGGCTAAAATTCTTCAATAGCAGTATTATCTCTTTATACCAATATAATTTTCAAGTAACTAATTTTAAGAATTTTTATTCTTTAGTTGTTCATGTCTCCTCTCTATCCCTCCCCTCCTCTCATTCTGTCCCTCTCAAACTATCATTTCTTTACACTTACATAATTTTTAAGTGTTTCACTTTTTGAATTTAAATTTTGTTTTTCCATTTTGCCTTGTTTTTATTTTATAATCTCTCTCCTATCTCCATTCAATATTCCCTTTGTGGTCTCCCTGAATTCTTTCTGCTGTCTGGTTATGGATTCCATGAATGCCTCTATTGATCTTTTCCTAGTCTCATCCCACTCTCGCAATTCCTGTATTACTCTTTGATTAGCTTCCTCAGATTCACACAATTCCTTTGTTTCTCTTTGTCTGTTCTCAGTCTGCTCACACAATTCCTGTATCAATCTTTGAGTACCTTCCTTGGGCTCCTGTATTAATCTTTGTTTTGCCTCCTTTCTCTATCATACTCACACTGAGTCCTCTGCAGGTTTTCATTCTTTTCATTCACCATGTTTACCAGAAGAGTTTGTAGTGCTTTTTTGGAACTCTCCTCTGTATTATTCATTAACTGTTCTGTCACCTGATTATCATGAGTGGCAGTTGAGATACCAGTCTTGCCATTTTTCTTGTGTTTTTGTGGCTTGTTCTGCACATTTGGTATGAAACCAACAGCAATTTTGTGCTAGGACACTATTTTAGGGCAAGCATCAACCAGTGTCTTATAGTTACACTCTCAAAATGACTACAGATACAATCTAGTTCAATAGATACAATCTATGCAACATCAGACAACTATGGATTAATGGACTAAGGGCAGCAAAGAAGAATTTAACAAACTAAAAATTATTAGGTTTAAGTAGTAATGTGGGAAAAATAGGATTAGAGGGATGTGGAGAGGTAAAAGGATATTGAATATCTGAATCTCAGAGAGCAAAGAGAAGTATCAACAGTATTCCTCAAATGCATCAGTGTAATAGAAAGGGAGGGAACATTACTTATTCTATGAATCAAGAATTATACTCATCCACAAACCAAATAAGGGCACATTGAGAAAAGAGAATTTCAGACCTATCTCCTTGATGAACATTGATGCAACAGTTCTCAACAGAATACTGGTAAATAGAATGCAAACACTAAAAATTCATATGCTATGATCAACCTGGATTTATCCCAGCAATGCTAATCTGGTTTAACATATGTAAGTCAGTTAACATTTTACAACACATCAACAGAAGCAAGGCCAAGAACCACATTATTATTTTGATCCATTCAGAAAGAGCCTTTGATAAAACCCTTTAGGGTAAAAACTCTGGAGAAGCAAGGACTTCTTGGAACATTCCTCAATAAATAAAAGCTCTATTTGACAAACCTACAGCTAGCACTATATTCATTAGTAAACAAAGCTATTCCCCCTAAAATCAGGAACTTGACAAGGATATCCATTCTCTCCAATCCTCCTCAACATAGCATTGGAATTCCTAGAAAGATCAGTAAAAACATTTAGGGGAAATGAATAGAGAAGCAATAATAAAACTACCCCTTTTTACAAATAGCATTATACTGTATTTAAGTGTCTCCAAAATCTCCTCCCCCAAGAGATTAGAGTTGATTTAAGACATTAGGAAAATATCCAGGTATGAAATCAAATTGCTTTTCTTTATGCTGTTGTCCAGACAATGAAGGTTAAATTTAGAAAAGAACTTCATGTGCAATTGCCTCAAAGAAAATATAAAATACCTGGGAAAAAACTAATGGGTGAAAGAACTCCATAGTGAAAATTTTAAATATTTGGAAAAGGAAATGGAGGATGGAAACATACATTATGTTCCTGGATTGGAAGAATTAGCATTTTGAAAAGTACTCAAAGAAATTTACAAATTCAATGCAATATCCATTCATATCCCAACAACATTCTTCAAAGAGATAGAGATTGCGATCCAAAAATTCATGGAAAATAAAAAGGACAAAGAACACCAAAGCAATTCTTAGCATCTGGCTTGGTTCCATATCTTAGCTATGGTGAATTATGCTGTGATAAACATAGTTGTGCTGGTAGCTTTATTTTGGTCTTGTTTGTGATCATTTGGGTAAATGCCCAAAAGTGGGATTGCTGGGTCATAGGGGAGCTCTATGTGGAGTCTTTTGAGGAACCTTTATACTGCTTTCCAAAGTGGTTGAACAAATTTACATTCCCACAAACAATGCAGTAGGCTTCCCCTTAGGGCATATCCCCAGCAGCATCCCTTGTTATTAGAGTTCTTGGATTATACCTATTCTAACTAAGATGAAGTAGAATCTTAATGTTGTTTTGATTTGCATTTCTTTTATAGCTAGAGAAGTTGAGCATTCCTTCATGTGTTTATTGGCCATTATTTCTTCTTCAGAGAAGTCTCTTTTTATTTCTTTAGCCCACTTATTAATTGGGTGGCTGTTTCTCTGAGATTTAATTTTTTGAGTTCAAAGTATATTTTAGATATTACAGCCTTAGCAGTCAGAACAGTGCAGGATGAATAATGTTACCAAATTACAAACTCTATTACAGCACCATAGTAATGATAACAGTTAGTATCGGAAAAGTGGTAGGCCAGAGAATCAGTGGAATAAATAAAAGATCCAGAAAAGAACACAAAGAAGACCTATGTGATGTTCGAAGAAAGGAGCAAAAATTATAACCTGAAAACATGATGCTGGTAAAACTGGACATCCATGTGCAGAAAACTGAAACTAAATGTCCACACAGGGTTTTTCACCAATATCAACTCAAAATTGATCAAAGATTTCAATGTTAAGCCAGAAACAATTAAGGTTTTACAGGAAAGATTAGGGGATATGTAGTGCTTTTGGAAACAAATAAAAACTTTCTAAAGAAAATTCCAGAATCAGAACACATAAAGCTCAAAAAATATACTTAGACCTCAAGAAAAAACAAACAAAGTAATAAATGAGTTTATCACTTAAAGAGGGACTTCTCAGAAGAAGAAATAAGAATGCCCAATAGGCACATGAAAAACTGTTCATCATCCCCAGTCATAATGGAAATCCAAATCAATACAACACAGCCTTTGTACCTCACCCCAGTTAGAATGGCAGTTATCAAGAAAACAATAACAAATGCTGCCAAGGATGTGGCCAAAGGGAAATTTATTATATGCTTGGTGGAAATGTAAATTTGTTCAACCAGTCTGGAAAGTAGTATCAAGGGGCCTCAAAAACGTAAACATAGAATTCCCCTGTGACACAGCAATTCCTCTTTAGGACATTTATCCAATGGAACACAAGCAAGGATACACTAATGCTACCATCACAACCAAGTGTATTGTAGCTTCATTTACAATAATCTAAAGCAGCCACAACATCCCTCAATAGAAGAATGGATCAAGAAAATGGGGTGTGTTTACACAGTGAAATTGTTCTTTCATTGTAAATAACAACATTAAAGAATTCATAAAGAAACAGAAAGATTTAGTGAGAATTATTGTAAGTGAAGTATACCAGATTCAGAGAAGCCCAGGTTGCAAAATTACGATCATTAGTGGGAACTAGAATGTACCTAGGTGGTAGCAAAGCATTTATCCATGAACTAACTGAGGTATAATAGAATCCATGGAGAATAGAAATAGTATAATTTGATACATAATAATAAAATTAGGACAAGTGAAAGAAGTGGGTGGGAATGTTGACAAGAATGAAATTGATCAAGAGGCACTGTATTTATAAACTACTCTGTTGAATGACAGCTCCTTTGTACAACTACCTGAAGAAAATAAAATTTAGAAAATGTATAAAACTAACGGAGAAGAGTGACTATAGGTCAGTTGACAATGTTCTAACATTGTCTATGTTAGGCAAATCATACACATAACCCTTATGAAGAGAGAAAATTATAAATATATCTAGGAATTACAATAATACATGGATATTCAATATTACAACTGATGGGAAGAATACAATGAAGTTGCAGTTTTCATTTGTATATATGTAATAGTCTATCTTAAAATATTAACTGAAAAGTGTCATTAAAAGTTAAATGAGAGGACTCCAACTCTCCTAACTCTCTCTCCAACTGAAAAGAAAGGAGAAGCCTAACATGTAAAATCCCCAAGAGACCAACAATGAAAAACTGAACAAGAGAGAACCACAGGAATCAAAGGAGAGAAGATAAAAAAAAACTTTCATAGACTGCGTACCCAAAGACGGAAACCCGTGAAGATCTTTTCCCCACCCCTCGCCAGAGTGCGACCTGGCACTGTCAAGGCTCAAGAGCAGCCCACCGCCCAGGACTTCAGGAACTAGCAGCAGACTGCTGTGTCCATAACATGGGAACCTGGACAGCACAGAGACAGCCTGAGACCAGAGGCATGGCACCGTGATACCCAGATCCAGAGAACTCCCACAGCACTGCCAGACAGCCCATAACCAAACCCAGGATCAGTGAACACCCTGTCAAGGACCTCCCCCATGGGAGACCAATGCTGGCAGTGACACACAGGGCTTGAAGTGGACCTTCTCCTCATTCCCCACCCAAGAAGGAACATCAGCCTTGAAGGGGACAAAGAGGACAAAAAACCCGCCCACCCCTACCCCACCTACTAACATTGAGTGGAAGGACACAGGGATCCATACTTGGTGGGAGCTGGGACACAGTCGTGCTCACAGTTAGGGATCCATACTTGATGGGTACTGGGACACAATCCTGCCAACAGTTCTGGCTATCAGGACTGCACACAGGGCAGCTGCTGGCGGAGGGCTTTACTTCTCCGGTACCAAGGTGTGTGGGTCAAGCAATGTCTAGCAGCAGGAGGACGGTACCTCCCCAAGACAGAATTGGCAAAGCCAGGGAACTGGCAGCAGCCAACAACTGCCAACCAGGGGGATCCATCCCTTGCCCTGACAGAATCTGCCAAGCCAGGGGGAATCGAGGTATGTGCCACACCAGGTAGTGGCTAAAGGACTGGCCCTCCCTCAATCGGATCTGCTAAGTTGGTGCACCTCCATTCCAGCTCCTGTAGAAAAACAAGATAAATATGCCCCCATTGGGAGGCACTGGCCCCTCGAAGGTGCTTCTGAAATCCCAGCCCCCATTTTGAGATGCAATTTGTGTGAGTGTTGCAGAGAGTTGGTGGAACATGCACACATGCATAAGATAAGGCAACCCAAGCAGCAGAACAAAGCACCGGCCACTAGAGAGCAGAGAAACAACCCAGGGGCAAGGCACACACACACACACACACACACACACACACACAAAACATACCCAGTGCAGCCATTGAAAACCCAACCCTTCTGAAACCAAGACTACTACGGAATCCTGAACTCAATGGGCTCATTCTTTACTAGAGACTGGGTAAAGTTCCTCTCAGCCAGCCCAGAGCTGAGAGCACACACTGAAAACTGACCAGGGGAATTAACCCAAAACCAAGTGAAGGCTGTCACCTGTCTATGAAGAAAATAGACCTTGGGATTTGACTCTGATAAAAAACCTGAATCCTCATGTGAAAATAACAGCGAAAAATAGAGGATTTATAAACAGTCACGACAGCAAACCAACTCCAAAGCCAGCAGCAACCCAGGAAAGAACTCCAGTGAAAGCAAAGAAGAAATGTAGGACAAATGATCAATTAAACAGATGATGAAAGAATTTGCCAAAGGACAAAGAAATAAGGCGACAAAAGGTCAGCAATTCAAAGAATACAA